TGGCGGGCTCGGCAGCAACGGGGTTGTGGGGAGGCCTTCAGACCATCGAGCTGACCTCCAGGGGAGCGTTCAGGTGGTCCACCACGTCCCCCCGCTGGATGGCAACCAGGGCCCGGCACAGGGCCTCCAGCGTGGCCCCCTCCTGGGCCGACCAATCGGAGAGCAGCGTGTGGGCAGGGGCCTCACCCCAACCGATGGTCTCGATGGTTTCGTCCGGGTAGCCCAAGTGCTGGGCCAGACTGCGCCAGTCTTTGCCGCAGGGGGTGGGCGCTTCCAGCATCTGCTCTGCTTCCTCCTGCAGAGGGTGGGCCAGGCTGCTGTACAGGCGGGCGTCGGCTCTGGGTCCTGCTTTTGGGGGGGGGGGGGGGAGGGGGGGAGAAAGAGAGGAAACGGAGCTGCTGAAGGATTGAAGGACGGAGCCGCTCTTCCCTTCCTTTCCTCCTCCTTCCCTTTCTTCTCCTTTCCTTCCTTCCTTCCTTCCTTCCTTCCTCCTCTTTCTTTCTCTCCTTCCTACTCTCTCCTTCCTTCCTTTTCCTTTTCCTTCCTTCCTTTCTTTCCATTTCTTCCTCCTTCACCTTTTCTGCTTTCTTCATTTCCTTTCTTCTTTTCCTCTACTTTTTCTCCTTCCTTCCCCTTTTCCAGTTCCTTTCTTCCTTTCCTTCCTTCCTTCCTTCCTCCTCTTTCTTTCTCTCCTTCCTACTCTCTCCTTCCTTCCTTTTCCTTTTCCTTCCTTCCTTTCTTTCCATTCCTTCCTCCTTCACCTTCTCTGCTTTCTTCATTTCCTTTCTTCTTTTCCTCTCCTTTTTCTCCTTCCTTCCCCTTTTCCAGTTCCTTTCTTCCTTTACTTCCTTCCTTCCTTCTCTTTTTTTCCTCCCTCCCTCCCTCCAATTTCATATCTTCTTCCCCGGAGAGACGGGCTGGGCCTTGGAAGCCTGATCGATATCCGAAAAGGGAGGCCCCCAAAAAATCAACTCCGCACCCAGGTATTCACGGTGAAACCTCCCCACCATGAGGACTAGCAACTCGGGGAACGGAAGTTCCCGCAGAAGAGTTCCCGCATCAACGTCCTGCTTGGTTCTCAAGACCCAACTGGAGACGGTGTTCTCCTAATCTGGTGTGTGTGTGTGTGTGTGTGTGTGTGTGTGTGTGAACCTTACCCTTCTTCAGCGAGTGCTGCTCCTGCAGGCTGTGCGTGTCCAGGAAAACCCCGCTGTCTCCGTGAAGTTTCTCGCCTTCGGGGGACGACGCCAACTCCCCCATCCGGGCTTTGGCCAGCTGGTGCTTCTGCTGGCACGTCGTCCGGCTGCATCAGAGCAGGAGGAGAGGGTGATTTGGAGACCCTCCCTCTATTTCCCCCCTTCAAGCAAGCAAGCAAGCAATGCAAGCCAGCCCTTGGCCGGCCCCCAAATCGCAGCCAGGTCTGGCTAAATCTGGCGGCGTGCGAAGTTCTAAAAAATTATAACTTTGGAGGCTGCTTTTGTTGGCTGCCTCTTAAAAAGCACGGCGCAGAAAGAGAGGTTCTCCCTTAGTGACGTCTCCAAACAGATGGCCGGAGGGGTGGAAAAGAGGAATGTGGCAAAAAGAGGAGGAGACGGATGAGCGGGAAGCGATAGGGAGGTTCTGCAGGGAGGGTGGAGAGATTGAGCCAGTGGGTTATCTGGGTGGGATCCAATGGCTGCATATGGATAGTCCTCGTCTTACGACCACAATCTGAGCCCAACATTTCCTTTGCTAAGTGAGACAGTCGTGAGTTACAACCATTCTTGCTGCCGTTGTTAAGTGAATCGCTCCAACTGAGGAACAGGGTCATTAAGTGAATCCGGCTTCCCCACTTACTTCGTTGGTCAGAAGGTCGCAAAAGGGGATCACGTGATCCCTGGGACACTGCGACCGTCATAAATATGAGTCCAAACAAAGCCACGTGATCAAAATTCAGACCGTCAGCAACAGACTTGTATTTATGACGGTCACAATGTCCTGGGCGGGGGGGGGGGTTCACGTGATCCCCTTTTACGACCTTCCAACGAGCAGTCAATGGGGCATCCAGATTCACTTAATGACCGGGTTATTCACTTAACAACTTCAACGATTTACTCCACCACGGTGGCGAGAAATGGGGCGAAACTCATAGCAAACACCTCACTTAGCAGCAGAAATTCCAGGCTCAATCGCGGTCGTAAGTCGAGGACGTTGTAGCTTCATTCTAGCCTTAGCTAGAGGGGTGAGGTTGGGGCCAAGGATCTTATTTCCCCGCAGGGAGAAAAGTAGCCACTCAGGGGGGAAAAAGAGGGATGCTCATATTTTTTTAGATTTCTTCCTAGCGGGGAATTTGTGGAGGGCTGGGTAGGTTCCCATAAGGATGTGTGTGTGTGTGTGTGTGTGTGTGTGTGTGTGTGTGTGTGTCCCCTGTCGAGTATATTCATGAACTGGAACAGAGCTTGGTAACAAGGTCAGCCAAGGAACAGGCATAGCAACAAAGTCAGCCAATGAGGGCTGTTTGGAAACTGAAACTAGAAGTAGGCTAGGCGTGGCTCTTGTATTGAACTCTGAGCCTGTCTATATTGAAAATGAAACGGCTTCTCTCCTCTGCTGTGGGTCTCGCTTGCCTGCCGAACTAAAGTGAAAGAGAAACTAACTTGCTTGCTGCAGGCCGGACTGCTGTCCTCCGACCTTCCTTGCGCCATGTTTCTGTCTGAGTTTGCTCCATGTTGGAGAAATCTACAACTGGTTTGTAAAATCTACAAAGATGTTAAACGAAGCATCCGCCATCTGCGTTTATTTTTTTCCGGTGCTGAATTAACGCTGCAAAACTCTGAATAGGTCCCGCCCCCCTGCCCCGCCCGCCCCCCCCGGCCCCCCGCAGACTCACCATTTGAACCCCACGTAGGCCAGGAGTCCAACCACCACGGCGGCCAAGATGGAGCAGTAGACGGGGATGATGCTGTTGGGGTGGTCGTCCACCAGGGAGGGCACAAACTCCGAGGACGCGTTGTGGGCCCCGCTGCCTTCCTCCTCTTGGGGCGCCTTCCTTCTCGGAGGGTCCTTCTGGGGCGCCCCTTCAGGCCGCTTCAGGATGTGCAGCTCTTTATCTGCCCCAATTGAAGTTGAAATGAAACAGGAGGTTAAAACAAGGCGAAGGCAAACCCCCCCCATGCCTTGGAAGCATCTTTGTGGGGGGGGGGGGCAGGATCTTTGGGGGGCTGGGAGGTGTCATGGTGGTTGGGGTGTGTTTGTGTATTTGTGTGTGTGTGTGTGTGAGAGAGAGAGATGTCAAGAAGGGGAGGAAAAAAACAAGCGCAAATTATTTTTGAAATCTCAAGAAAACCCCAAACTGCAGGTAGTCCTCGACTTACGGCCGAAACGGAGCCCCCAAATTTCCGTTGCTGAGCCAGACAGTTGTTAAGTGAGTTTTGCCCTGTTTTATCACCTTCCTTGCCCCCAGCTGTTAAGGGAATACCTACAGTTGTTGAGTTAGTCACACGGTTGCTAAGCGAAACTGGTCTCCCCGTTGACAACACACACACACACACACACACACGGGGACATAGCAACCGTCATAAATACGAGTCAGTGGTCAAGCGTCTGGATTTGGATCACGTGACCCCGGGGAGGCCGCCACAGTCGCAAGGGTGAGAAAAAGGGTTGTAAGTCCCTATTTTCAGTTGCAGCCTGCTGCAGCTTCAAACGGTCCCTAAAGAGAGTGGTTGTAAGTCGAGGACCTCCTGTAGAAGACACACACACATCCCAAAGTATTTCTCCAAACTCAAAAGACCAAAAGGATACACACACACACACACACACACACACACACACACACACACATAAAAACACAACCGGTTTGCAAAAACCAAGCTAGATGGTGGAAAGGAAAGGAAAACATCAGGGATTCATCACTTTTCCTAATTTGCCCCCCCCCCCATTCCACCCCCACCCCCTCCCGCACATCTGGCACACATTTGTCTCTGCGCAGAGACCCCGGTGGGTTCCTGGCTGCGATGGAAGCCCCGAAACCTCCAGGAATGCACTTAGCAACCAGTCAGGAAGCAGATTTCTGCATTGCCCGGATTTCAAGATTCCCAGGGAATCTTGGGATCCGGTTCCCATGATATCTGAGCCCTGGCTGGCTTAACAGGAGCCACGGAGTCGGAAGGGGCCTTGGAGGCCATCTAGTCCAACCCCCTGCTCAGGCAGGAGAACCTTCTATCTTCCTCTGAATGACAGAAGGCCAGAGTCGGAAGGGACTTTGGAGGTCTTCTAGTCCACCCTCCCCTTGCCCAGGTTGGAAACCTTACCCCATTTCAGACAAATGGCTGTTTTTAAATCCCTCGCAAGTTCTGGCCGTTTGACAGTTTGTTTCTTTGTCAACAAGATTTATAACACAACACAACTCTTGAGAGTGTGACCTGCCTGTTGGCTTCAACCAGTGTTGCTTTGTGCTGTCCTGCCTTTAAGTTCTGCAGTTTTGCAGGGTTTTTTTAGGGGCTGCCTTGACGGGTCGTCTAAAGCCCACCGAGACCAGGGTTATACAAGTAGTCCCCGACCTACAACGTATCCGTTTAGTGACCAGTTACAACTTTCTCTCTCTTTGTTTTGCTCTCTTTTTCTCCTCCTCTTTCTGTTTATTTCTTTCTCTTCCTTTCTTCCTCCCTTTTTCTCTGTCTCTCTCTTTTCTTCTGTTTTTCTCTTTTTTTCATTTCTGTTTATTTCTTCCTCTCTTTTTAATGTTTTTCTCTTCCTCTGTCTTCATCTTCGTCTCTCTTTCTGTCATTTTTCTGTTTTTCTCTATTTCTCTCTCTGTCCCTCTATTTCTTTCTTTCTCTTCCTATTTTCTCTCTTCTTTTTTCTGTTACTTTCTCTTCCTTTCTCTGCCTTTCTTTTTCTCTCTTTCTTTCTCTTCTTTTTCTCCTTCTCTCTCTCCCCCCTTCTTTTTCTTTTTCTCCCCCCCCCCGATTTCTTTTTCTCTCCTCTTTCGCTTTCTCTTCCTTGTTCTTTTCCTTTCCTTCTCTTTTTCTCTTTCTTTCTTTTTCTCCCTCAACTCTCTCTCTCTCTCTTTTCCTCTGTTTCTCTCTCTCTCTTGCAGTTAGTTGATCCTGGGATGGTTTGGTTTTTTTTAGCACTAGCTGAAAACAGACACTTGCCCTATTATGCGTCTTTCTTTCTCTCCCAAAGCAAAAACCGAAGTTTCATTTCAGGGCTTAAGAAGAGATTTCCCCCCCCCCCCCCCCCCCCCCCCCCCCCCCCCCCCCCCCCCCCCCCCCCCCCCCCCCCCCCCCCCCCCATGTGGAGGATGAGGCAGGGCAGAGCTGAGAAATAGTGTGAATGTGCCTGTGTGGAGGTGTGTGTGTGCGTGCGTGCGTGTGTGTGTGTGTGTGTGTGGCTTTTGCTGTTGACTCACCACTCACCCCGCCCTCCCTTTCCGTCTCGGTCTATGGGGGAGTCCTTCCCCCGCCACCCCCTCCGGGTGCAAGGAGGATTAGAGACAAGGACCAGGAACAAAAGGAAGATTATGACGAATACCAGCAACTGCAGGAGTCTAGCAGGCAGGCAGGCAGGCACACACACACACACACACACACACACACACACAAAGAGAGAGAGAGAGAGAGAGAGAGAGCAGAAAATCATCCCTAAAACAGCCAAGAGAGTCTCTAAAAACAGAGACAGGAAGAAAAGGGCTTAAGCTGAAGGAGGATCCGAATTCGGATCTCTCTACCGCTCCGGAGGATGGCCTCAGAGCGGAACATCTAAGGAGGAGAACTTGGTCGGGTTGATCTGGGTGTGGGGCGGGTTGCCCCCCCCGGTTTTGGGGTTGCAAAGGGGTCAAAAGGGAGGCAGAGGCAAGCAGGTCAAGAGTAACCTGACGGGTAAGCCACTGGCATAGAAAAATCACAGTGAATGCCTCTCCCTTCCAGCACTGATGATGTTCCCTAGTTGGGTCATGAAACGTCTGCAAGAAAATAACTGGATTCAGAGAGCACCAAGGACCCCACAGTTGCCTTCTTCCTCCTCCTCCTCCTCCTCCTCCTCCTCCTTTTCCTCCTCCTCTTTCTCCTTCCTCTTCTCCATCCATCCTTTTCCTTCTTTTTCTCCTTTTCTTCCACCTTCTCCCTTTAACTTTCTCCATCCGTCTTCTTCATCTTCATCCATCTCCTTTTTCTTCTCCTCCTCCTGGCTTTTTCTATCCATCCCGTTTTCCTCCTTTTTCTCATTTTTTCCTCCTCCTCCACCTCCTCTCCACAACCCCGCTTCCCTTCTAGCTCTGATGAGGTTCCCTAGTGGGGTCCTGAAACGTCTGCAAGAAAACAGCCAAGCTCAGGGACCCCCAAGGACCCCTCCCCCCCCTCCCAGTTCAACCCTGAGCTACAATTACTCTCTTCCATAGGTCAAGAACCGGTGGGAGGGGGCATTTATGGCGCCATACGGAGGAAAAAAAAACCCAAAACATATGTAAACAAATAAATAAATAGATCTATTTATAAACTGAATATAAACTCTATTTATAAACACAACCCTCTGTAAATGAAAGTGGTCCTTGCCTTACAACCGTTCATTTAATCACCATTTCAAGTTACAGCAACATGGAAAGAAGGGAGTTATGACCGGTCCTCACACTTACAACCATCGTAGCATTTCCCGCGGTCGCGTGATCCCAATTTAGGCTAGACGAGTCCACGAGAGAAGCCGGATTTGCTGAATGACTGCCCGGCTCATTTAACAACTTTGAGGACAGCCATATGGGGTTGCCTCAAGAGGACCGCGCAAATCTAATCATCGAAACACAGGCAGTCCTCACCTTATGACCACAATTGTGCCCAAAATGTCCATGGCCACATATGAACAACTTTTCGTACCCCAGTTGCTAAGAGAATCCCTGCAGTGGTTATTATGTTAGTCACACAATTTCGGGTAGGATTGTGGTCATAAGTGGAGGACTACCTGCACACCACAGCAGATCGCACAAATCTTTTTTAGCAAGTTGGCAGCTGCAAGCAGAGGTAATTGCGCAGTGCGGCAGAACGGAATCCAGCCAATCCCCGCCGAGCAGCCTGTGTCCTCCCCCCTCCCGGAGGGTCCTAACTCCCCCTCCCCTCCAGCTTTCCCCACGGCGCGTCCCCCTACCCATGCAGAGGGTGTCCGAAAGCGGGGTGCACGGCTGGATCATGACTTCCTTCGGTCCGCATTCCCGTCGGCAAAGCAGACACGGTTCGTACGGGCTCTTCACCTCCGAGTAAAAACCCTCGGGGCATTTCTGGCACTCTGTGTCGCTGCCCGTCTTGCACTCCTGGGCCGCCCCGAATCCCGCCTTGCACACTCGGCAGGGGGTGCAGGTCCCTTGAGGCTGGGTCCCGTTTCCTGGCGCCAGGTAATGTCCGCGCGGACAGCTGGTGGCACAAAGCGTGTCACGGGTGGCGGTGCAGGAATCGCGGATGGGAAGTTGTCCTGGGCACGTCGAACATGGCCGGCAGGGATCCGTGGCACTCGCGGTGGAGGAGAATGTCACACCTGCGGTAAGAGGAAACCACAACGCAGGATGTCACCGTCCAAATTTGGGACGGAGAGTCAAATCGGTTCCCGGGAACTTTTGAGTTTGCAGGATTAGAGGGAACGAACAAATTAAGGGACGTGCGCGCAACACAGCCAGCAATACAGAGGAAAAAACGAATGAATTCTACAGGTAGTCCTTGATTTATGACCATAATGGAGCCTGCCCTTGACAGTCGTAAATCATGACACTCCTCATACTTACGACCCATGGTCGCATGATCAAAATCCAGGCACTTGGCAACCAGCAAGCCCTTATGAAGACTGAAGCATCCCGGAGTCACCTGGTCATCGTCTGCGGCCATTCCAGCTGGCTTCCAATAAACAGTAAGGGAAGCCAGATTCTCTTAACGACCTTGTGATTCGCATAACAGCCATGGCAAAGGCCATCAAAAAGGGGCAAAACTCACTCAGAACCGTGTCTTGCTTAGCATGGAAATTCTCCCAATTGTGGTCGTAAATCAAGAATTACCTCTAAAGACCCAGGCGTTCAAATGGGGGGGGCCTAAGGACCACACGTGGCAGTAGTCTTTCTATGAGGGGGGATTCTCCCCCCGCCACCGGGGTGAAATCTGGGCATATCCTAGAGCCATGTGAAATTTTTTTATTTATCTCTTTTTATTATTTTTATAAAATAACAGGTCAACATACCTAATTCTCCTTCCTCCTCTTTTCTCCACAACAACCACCCTGTAAGGTGATTTGGGATGAGGGACAACGATTGGCCCAAAGTCACCCGATTGGCTTTTACGCCTAAGGTGGGACTAGAACTCACCGTCTCCTGGTGATTGGCCCAAAGTCACCCGATTGGCTTTTACACCTAAGGTGGGACTAGAACTCACCGTCTCCTGGTGATTGGCCCAAAGTCACCC